AAAAAAAAAAAAAATCGAAAGAGACTAAAACAAAATATTACAACATATTATAAAAAAAAATTAAAATGGAATGTTTGCTATTGCTGATGTAACAATGAAGCTGAAAAAAGAAAAAAATACCTCGTCATTTGTTAAATTAAGGCAACCAGCGAAATATGCCATAACCATAACTTATAATGCATTATTACCAATTACCAGTATGTTTTTCTGATTTAAAAAAAGGAATTCTGCCGTCAAATTTTATTTTGGCATAGATTTAAAGTTCTCTAAGCTAAAACCATAACGAAAAACTGTTCAAATTGTGCAATTTCCAGTGTAAATTTTAAACAAAAATAATGATAGCAATGTTTTTCAGAGAACTGGTCACTTTTGAAATATTATCACTGTAGAAATGCTTAATTCATAAATGGATAGTTTAACAATAGCTTAATTGTTTGTACAAAATCTAAAAGCTTGTCAACTTTACTAATGTGTTTCCATAAGCTCATTTAATAAAAACAAGTAAGCTTCTAGTTATAAGAATGTTCTAAATTGAGATTTTATAACGTTAATCATGCCTACTATGATTACTTCCTTGAATATATCATTGGTAGATATAAGCAAAGCTGGTAATTGATAAAACAAAAGACGACATAAAATTTCATATGGACTGAATCCCATATTTTTTCAGGCATTTTCATCCAATTTCTGAGCCATTTTGTTTTGTTCCAGTTGAGGATTGACTAAAATAGCATCTGCCACCTCACGATTCGGGATTGGTAATTGTCGCTGGAAAAAAAAAAAATCATTTGGAGAAGAGGTGATAACTTAGGAAAGACAGTAACAGTTTTCTAAAATATAACAAATTTTATCTCAAATTTTTTACTATGAATAGTTTTAAATCATTTTGTATATGTACAATAAAATGTATTCATTTTGGATAAAGAGCAAAAAAAAAAGACCGTAAGAAGCAATCAAATGTGAAATCAGATGAAGAAATAAAAATTTAAAGCAAACAATCTAAAGCAGAATAATATTTCTAAGCATTTACTTGTTGTTCTTTTAATGATAGGATTAGTTCTCGAGAATAAACTATTCGCTTATCTGGAGGTTTGTAATCACAAACACCTTCATTAGCAAGAATTTCCGCAATTTCGTTTACAGACGATCCTCAATAAATTTTAATTTTAGTGAAGAACTTCACATATCCATAAAATGTCAAATTTACTTTTGTCATTCATAATTGTGTACTTTTCTTTAATTTAATGCATTATTACCATCTGATTTAAAAGCTCTAACAAGAGCAACAGCACCATCGAAGCTTACAGCTAATACTGCCAAATGAACAGCATTTTCCAGAATGCAACGAGTAACTTCTGCAAATTTCGGCGTTGGTTTGATAATACCGTACAGTATGCATGGAATAGCCTGAAAATATTCACATACATCAAATGTTAAAGAAATCTGCGAAATTGCAATATACAAAACTCACTAAGACGAATTTAATATAAATCTAAGCAAATTCTGCATATCGCAATTTGATGTATTGTTGTTTGAAACCGAGTCACTAATAGCATACAACCAAAGTAACGAATCTTTAAAAAAAACTACGATCTCAAACTAATTAGTATAACACCGATGAATAAATAATTCATTCAAACTTTTACAATATGAAAACTTACTCTGGCTGGTATGGAAGCCAAATATTCACTGATAACTTTCAATTCGTTCATTTGTACCACCAGTGTTTGCCCCACATCCAATGTATAAATACGAATTTCTTTATCATCTAATTCTTCCAGAACCCGACATCGAAGTGGCACCTCGTTTGGCTTCTTTGGTGTTGCAACTAGCAGTTCATTCTTCTGTAAAATTTCATTATACCCTCTATTTTGAAAAATTTAATTTTTTAAAAATCTCCAAAATTTATTTTATATTTGATTAACAACTTTCATGAAACTTGTAACAATGATAGAACCATACCTTGCTAAAGATAAAACATATCCCCAAAAGTCCATAGCATGGAATTTGTATTTTAATCTAGTAAAAAGTATAAAAAATAGGAAATTACAGCTGAGAACGAAAATGAGAATTACAAGAATTATTTAGCTATACAGCTTAGCAGCATCACTCTAAGCACATGAATTTAAACTTAATAAAAACTAATAAAGGAATACTCCAGTTGATTTACAAACTCAAAATGATAAATTTCTTACCACAACATATGTTACTTCAGCTGCACGTTCAAAATGAGCTATAAGATGACTATCTAAATCTTCATTGCTAATTATTAAATTTTCTGCTTCGCATACATGAGTTTTAGTAAGCACGTAAAATTTCAATGGCCAGAATAGAACTTCCGTAATTGGTTTAATAAGTTCAACCTGGAAACCAGTCATTTTCATCAATTTTCAAAACACCGCCACTTTTTTTCAGTTCAAATTACAAATGTACATGAATGCCGAAATCTTTAAACACAATTATACCTCTATCCAAAATACATCTCATTTCCATCAGCTTTCCTTCAAATTTTTTCTAGAAAATTTATAACACAGATTATTATTGAATTTTAATTTTCTCAACATCAGGAAGATAGAAAAAAAAAACCTCTATTGGCTCTCCCCCTGCTAGGTACATGTGACGATGAAAGCGATCATTGTAGATAATCGGTTTACGAATATTTCCTTCTGTCAAAACCAATTCCGGCTTATCAGTAATGGAAAAATAGCTGAAACAAAATTTAACAAAATTATGCTTCCCATTACAGCGATCTCTTTTATCTATTCGTTATTTTTCGCAAAAAGCTTCACTGACTATATGCTAACCGAAATTAGAATTTAAAAATTTTATTAATATTACTTCTCATTCAATTTAAAAATTTTAATATTACTTCTATTACTTCTCATTATTCTCTAATATGACTATTACCAACTAACCTTTTCATTCTTTCCGCTTCTCTGTCAATAGCCGATGATAATTCTGTTTTCAAACTTGCATTCCCTTTCTGTCTTACAAATTGAATCTAAAAAATCAATTAGCTTACTAATCTTAAAAATTCCTGTTATTAAACTCCCTCCTTTCTTCCATCTTCCTTTTTTTCCTTCCAAACAAGCATGCCTTAAGCGGTTTCGATAGCTCTGGTAATTGAATTTTGCCATTATCATGAGCTGTTGCAGTAATAACCGAATTCGCATCAGCAATCGACATCATATGAACAAACCTTAAATTAATTAAATAACCACAACATTCCTCAATCAATTAATAATTATATTGTAGTAAAATAATCAACTATGAACAAAAAGCTGTCCATTGTCATTTAAAAACACATTTGATATTTAAATTTAAAGTAGAATAACATACGCGCTTGTTAATGAATCATTGTGTTTTTTCAGAATTTTGATATTGTCAATCCGTCCGAATTGTCGAAATATGTGAAGAAGTTTCCACTAGAAAAAAAAAAAAACTGTTTGATTAAATGTCAATTATGAGGAAAGAGAATAAAAGATCAAAATAAACTAAAAAATATTTAAAAAACAATCCCAAAAGACACGTCAACATACCTTATCCCACGTATCTGGTACATTTTGAACATAAAGTGTTCTCTCCTCTGATGTACCCATATACGGCAAATGTAAATCTGATTGTTTCAATTTTGTGCAACTACCTGCAGCTGTCATACGCTTTTCTCCGTAAAACTGCACAACACAGACTTCAAAAATCTCAAAGATATATTTTTAAAAAAAAAAAGAAAAAAAAAAACATGACGAATTCATTTAAATATCGTAGAAATTATTAGAGGTTGAATTATTACTGATATTTTCAACAATACCTAAATGAATTTCAACAATATTTGTAATTTATTAAGAAATACAAAATTTTTATCATTTCTTTTTTTTCATGATACGATTTCAGAAATGCAATTAACATCACCATTATAAGAATTAGGAATATCTTATCAGCTAATCCAGGATACATATTTTTTCTTTGCTATTATTAAACGATCTTATTGAAACTGAAATTCAATCTAACCAATCATCATAATAACAATTAAGAGATAAATCATTTAATTATTTACTTCAAGAATGTTTTAGACAATTGATACCCATTCAACATGAGGACTTATTTTCCCTCTTAAAACTTCATTTTTCCATACATTTTCCAACGCATTCAATAAAAAATTACTTAACAAATTGAGAAACTGTGCATATAATATGCTGAATATAGGCATTTGAAGAAAAAAAAAACATGGTTTAAACTTCTTAAGTAAATAACAATATTGTTAGTGACAATTAAATCTACATATTGCAGACAATTATAGGTAACGAAACATTTCATTTAATTTATAGTTAAATTTGAAAGATTTCTTCATTAAAGTCATTTGCTATCGGTGATTTTAGCGCAGTTTTTGTTTGAGACATACAAACAGAAATAAACAGCTAAACAAAAAATGAATATATGAGATGATAGGAGCAAGCAACCATTCTAGCAATAATCACACGTTCCAATCAGCACAAATGAATGGTGAAAAAAAAAATGCATAGGAATTAATTCCAACTAAAGAATTTAAATGAAAATAAAAATCAACCGTTCCTAAATTAATTTCGAATTATTCAAATTTCACTACTAAAATTCTTTACAAATAGTTAAAAAAGGCAAAAAATCGCAAATTGAACAATAATGAAATATAATGTAACATTATAGATGTATATAGCGTTACATTACACTGTCGACCACAGCGACGCAGTTGCATGAATATATTAAATTTTATCAAATAGCATCATTGTACAATTTTTTTTTTGATTTCTAGTCTTCATATAAAAAACTTCATAAGAATTAGAAACTGCATCTCTTTTTTCAAAGACAATTCAAAAACGAAAAAAAAATTCTAAACCTTGAAGTTATGTACAAAATATGATGTAGAGAGAAAAAACGACAAAAAAGTCGACTTTTAAACAAAAAAAAAAACGACAAAAAAAAGTCGACTTATAAACAAACTGCTTTAATTTTTTCCTAAAAGAAAGTGTCCACAATAAAAAATGAAAACCGAAGAAGATCATGCTAGATTCGTTAACTCTTTAATACATATATTTATACATTCATCATGAAACAAAAATATAAGATAAGTCCCTGAATCGATCAAGAGCATAGTTTATGAAACAAATTTAATACTTGATAACATTTCATTTAATTATATGGTATCATAATTGTGATGAATCAAATTGAAACTCATTTGGGAAAGAATTAACTTCAAAACTTCTTTGGAATGGGATAAAAAATAAATATCAAGTTTCATAATAATGACCTAATCAAGACTATAAATCATGCTTTTTCTTTTGTCTCACCTACATAGCAGCCTAAATCCATAGCTAAACTTCTGCTTAAACAACGTTTTGTCTGTAGTCGAGCATAACCATCTTTGCATTTTTTATACTGAAATCGTGTAAATCCACGTGGTATTGAGCATTTGTGTTTTCGGATTAAATGTCGGCTTAAACCAAAACCATTTGCATACTTTGCATCACATAAATGGCACAAGTGAGTATACGGTATGTAAACCTGAAGCCAAATTACACTCAACTTAACTGAGGTAGTAGATCAAAAAATTCAAAGGAGTAAATGCGGCTACTATTACTTATAATTTACCTAAAATAAGCTCTCGTGTTAAGGAAGGAAAATATCACTTTAAAGCAACTCAAACTAATGCTGACTTGAAGAAATTTCTTTTTTTTTTTATTCTAGTAAAGACAAAATACCATTAGCCAATTTCAAAAAATTTCTTTAATTATATTTAATTATTCAATGATTTCAATTTGAAGTAAACATAAAAGTATATGAATACCTTATCATGCTTTCGAATATGTGCTGTCAACTGTTTTTTCCAACGAAACTGCTCACCGCAATGTCCGCATTTATGCGCAAGTTCGTTAGAATGAACAACCATGTGACGGTCAACATCTGCTTTTTGAGAAAAACTAAATAAAATTAATTAAATAGATATCTATATGATCAAAACCTAATGGATCAATATAGTTTTAGAACATTTTAAAACATTAATTTTCATATTTGCTTAAATCTAAACTAGTTAAAACTGGAATTGTGGTAAGTTTGTATATCTTTCATCGTGGTAACTAATTTCTGAAAAATAATAGAATTCCAGAATGATAAGATTTACTAAAAATCCTTGTATATTGATTTCAAAATCTTTTTTGGCCAAGAACATGCACAAAACCTAATTAATAATCGATATATTTACTTAAAATTATGCAAGAAATCTCAAATTACCTACGTAAAAATTATAATTTCATTACCTGTGGCCACAATAACAACAAGTATAAAGCCGACATTTAGCATGCACAGCAGCAACATGCCTTTTCAATGCAGATGGACTGTCGACGGTCACTGTACAGTATTTACACTTATGATTCATAACATGACGACGGCAATGTTCGCGTAATAAACGTTGTGTACCAAATTGTTTTTGACATAAATGACAAGAATAAATGGTTCGAAACTCCCCGTTTTCTAGTGCTTCCGGTCCTATAATGAATAAATAATATTTTATGCACAAAAGTCTTTTAAAAAAATGAAGTATTTCGGCGAATTATGCATCTTTCGAAAAGTTTATTAAAAGCCTCTCTCGATAACATACGAAACGGCGCAAAAAAAAGAGAATTTTCTTAAATTATAATGAAAGAATTCCTATAAATTGTGTCAAAATCTTCCGTTACGTTTCGAAAGAAGAGATTGTTGGGTTTATCACGAAAAATTAGATGAATAACATCTTGCTTCATTATTTTAAAAATTAATTACCAATTTGATTTTTACGAAGCATGTGATCAATCAATTTTGAGTTATTGGCAAAGAAAACGCCACAATATGGACAAGCGGCAGTTTTGTCACCAGAATGATGCCGGCAATGTACTCGAAGATTGGCTTTATTCTTGAAATGCATTTTACAACCTAAAAAAAGACCGAATATTAAAACTTTAACACTTAAGGCTCTCGTGTGATATAAGTAAATCAAAAACATTTTGGAATGTTGGTTTGAAAGAGAGAGCTCTGAATGGACAAAATGTCGATTAGCAAAATTTTCCGCTGTCCCTCTTTGAATTTTAATTACGAAAAAATTCGTTACCTTGCCAACCACAACTTAGTTGATAGCGCTGATCACGATCCGTGGCACCAAGTGAATCAATATGATCATCAACATGATTACAATACAAATCAATGTCATCCCAAAGTGTCTTAAAAATTCAAAAAGAAATCTACAACAAATCTTGTTATAAATAATTAAGAAAAATTGATAACAACATAGATTACACTTACATTACAATTAACCCATCCACATGCCATTGCTGAACCATCATATATAAGTTCCATAGATGTACGAAAACCGCAACTGAAATTATTACTATCAGTACTTTGTCGAATTTAATTAATCTTATCTGTTTTATACTAGCTTAACTTTTTTACAGGTTATTGCCTTAATGATTATGTTATAGATTAAAAAATAACGTTTATTAAAATGTATTGAGATGGAGCCTATCATCAGAATCACTATCAATTTACATGCAAATTATATAGTATAAAAGTGAAGAAAAATATAAAGAGAAACTATTTCGCTACTCTTCTCTCATATTGCTATAAATGGATGACAAGCAGAAGTCAGTATTAAGTTTTAAAACTTTTAATTTAATACATTGAACTGTCTAATGACCAACTGAATTATAGGCATCTGCAAGATTTTTCTTGACCCTAACGCATTACACTCATACTGAAGTAATTAAAATGTGAATAAATCTAAAGTAAGCCTTTTTTCCATTTCTCTTTTCCTGTGGATCATGCTCTCATCTCAGTTTAGCTAATAACTTTCAGTTAGATATGTAAATTGCTAATATCCTGGAACATACACATATAGCACGATTTTCGCAATTAATTAAATTTCGAACATACTGTGAAATATTTGCTACATAATCCCGACTGAAAATAACATTTAAACCAGTCCACTGTCGCCGAATATGATAATTGTGCATGTAGAGGTGACGATACAAATGATGCTCTGTAGCAAGTGTTTTACTGCATCCATTGATCGGACATACAATAATACTATCTTCATTCTGATCATGAACTATAAAAGAAATAAATAATATATGAAGAACATAATAGGCTAATAACACACATGTCATTGTCAAAATTTTAAATATTTCAAAACAAAAAAAAAACGAAAGAAAACTAGTTCAAACCTGATAACTGTTCTATATGGGATCGCATATGTTGCAACAGATCATTCAAAGTATCGTATACCATAAAACAACTTGACCATAAACATTTGAGATAAAACTAAAACAAATAACAATTGACCAACTAACAAATAAAATCTTTCTAATATAACCAAATTATAACTAAATTCCATTTAAAATTTCGTCTTTCGAAATAGAAAAAAAGAAAAAAAACTGTTGATATGCGAAGTGTGATATTTTTTAAACCTGAAAACCCAGCAAATATCCATCGCCAATTTATAACGGTAATTGCAATATATCAGTTAGCCTTTTCAAAATATTTTTATTATTTTTTAGAACATCAAGACGATCTGAATTAAACTGCAAATTTGCTTTATAACATCGTTGTTGGTTTTTATTTTCCATTATTTCTTAATCTTCAATCAATCTCTCATAATTTTATCATTCTTCCTAGGACAGTGCCGTCATCCACTACAGTAACATATGCTGAATCTTTACAAATTTAAAATATTATCCCTAATATAAGTCAATCAGATGGATACTTCCTTATCCTGAAGTCGAGTAATCCATGCCATTTGTTCACCGGAACCAGTTGCTACAGGTCTGTCTGCTGATTGAAGAACAACTGATTCGAAGTGTTCCATTATACAGTTATATTTCGCAGACTGCAAATACACTCTGTAAAAATACATCAATGAGGAAAAATTAATTCGTAAGGAAATAGGAAAACATTAAATTCACGTTAATCAGTACTAACTTTTGCAATCGGCATTTACATAAGTCAAACAACTAGCAGCAAAATTTAACATAATTATACTTAACGATTAATCCGATATTAACATTTTCATTCCAATTTAAGATTCAATAGCTATACGTTGAGTACAATTTAATATCTTTAAGCACTTATTCTTACTTTCACGCCTACATCTACACGCCAAGTTTTTCTTTCACGCAGAAACGCATAAGCATGTGATTAGGAATGACTCTAATCACATGTTTACGCATTCTTGCATTTTTTGATATTTGCATTTACTTATAAAAATTAGCAGGTACTAATTAATATCAATTCTGTAATAATAATAATAATATCCTTATAAAATAATCCTTATAATAACAATATTCGTAATAAGAATCATTTCATCGCTAAATTTTTTTTATCATTTTACTTTTCTTAATTGCAATAATGATCAATGTCGGCCTTAAGTAAATATAACCAAAATGTAAAGCATTCGCTGCTACTTTTTTCATTCCATCTTAAACAGTACAACTAGCAATACTTCTCAAGAATAAAAAATTAGAAACCTATAAAAAATAACCAATAAAATTTACATCAACACTAACAATTTATATCAACTGATATCAGCAGGATTAGGGCAATAATTTCACGAAATAATTTGAAGAAAAAAAAACATTGTAAATGAAAATTACAATGATTTTTTTAATGATAAAAGATTAAAACCTAAAAAAAAATTGTTTAAAAAATTGAGAATGATTTAACGATTGATTAAATAAATTTACAAATTATTCTTTTATAAAAAACGAAAATTTGACAAAAA